GCGTTGAAAAATGCAGAGTATGGCAAACATTGGATACAACAAACCAAAAAAGGAAACTGTTTTATAACATTACAAACACGTGTTAGCTGAGGTAATTTTAATGGCGTGATACACCTAACGAATGTGCTTCTGTTTAGTCACGAACTGTTTACATCTTTAAGCACATTGCACACGTAAATATGTTATATGACAAGCAGCGTGTCTGTATATGGCATCTTCGAATAGTAGGACAGGCTTTAGTATAAAAAAAAAATGTAAATTTTAGGGGGGTTTTTATAGATGATTTAGTAATTTATGATGTGTAGGCGATGTGTAATATTCTTTATATAAAGTCAAGCCGAATTACTCGCTATGTAGCTATCAAAAGGTAGAACGGATTCGGATATTATTTACAGATCTCGAAGCCTTCTCCGGTCCGAAGTCGCTGGCCTGCTATGTTGCACGTGTTACGCATACCTATACATATGCAAAATCTATAAAACCAACAAAAATTGTTTGCTTTTTTCTTCAGCTCAGCTTGGATGCATTTTAGGACAAGTTTATCATCAAGTCAGACAGCTAGCGCGTATGTAGTGCCTCTGGTCAAACGTTCCAAGTATCCAAGGAGGAAATTTATTCGAACTTACTTGTCCTGTCTTCTAAAATCCACCTGATTGTCACTGTATGCCATTATTTTCCTTCATTAGTGGCAGGAGGTGTTTCTTACGAATGTTACTATCTGCCAATATTGCTCGTATAGTATGACTGAACTCGATCGTCTCCTTACCAGCTGAACTCAAAAATCTCATGAGCCACGTGTCGGCCAAAATATGATAAATCGCAGAGCATTATTGCTTTATGGTGCCTTCGATAACACAGGGTTTAGCTTTTCGAAATTCTTGTGACACGGAGAAATCTCAACTCAGCGGGGCGTTTCATTCCACTAACGACAAGGATACACTTCTAATAACTCAACATTTGCGTTACACGTTAACCTCGATCTTCTCCCGGCAATCATTTCTCATATACAGACGGAAATACACAAAAACTACATTTTATTTTCTCTGCATTTACGGATGTATCAAGAAAAACGTATATTCAATGAGGGCCGGCTGATACATCGGTGACAGTGAGAGTGATTAGATGCCATACGAACCGCTGATACTGGTTTCGCTCACAAGATCAATGTACACAAGGGCAATAGAACTATATAAAGGGAAAAAATCTCAGTGTCAAAAGTAGATAATTGATAATAATATCTGCATTAATAGATGCAATAGTTCATTTAGTAGCCCTGTTTTAGGCGCCTTTGACATTATGTGCTTGGCCCACTCCTATAATAGTAGGTTACTCCTTTCCATTTCTCCATCGAATATTGCCCCTATATGAATTTTCTAGAATACATGTCTCATATGCCATGCATGAATGAACATACGTCCGTAGAGATGGCAGCCTGCAGTAAATTTCGAGCCATCACGGAACTTTAGTTCTGTGCTCTACATACGACTATATACAGGCGGATATCGGAGGACTCAGACCTTGTGTGGGCAATTACAAGTTGTTTCAAGGCTTCGCGGAATGATAGGGATCACCAAGGGAACGATCCTTCTCAGGGACACGATTGCGGGCTCATATTTACTTTATGGCAAATGTTGAAATCTAAAAAAAAGAAAAAAGACTTCCCGAAAACAGATAATTGCGAAATTCTGAGGAATACTTCCTCGACTAATATGTGCACAACGATGAGAGAAAGGTCTGTCCAATAATGCCCACCAAAGTCAGTTGATCATAGAGGTCTAATACTAATCGTTGTTTTTAGCTCGTTAGCGTCAGAGCAAAATCGCTTAAAAGCTCTACTTTACAAACAGAAATCTTCAAGCACCTCGCAATGCTAAAATCTGCTCATTTATTAAATACTACTCAAATGGACAAAAGTAGATAATGGGAGCATTTGGCCAGCCAAAATCATAGTTAGTTAAGCGTTCAAAGAAGCTCTCGTTACGAAAAGCAATACTTTTTTTTTCAAGAAACTGGGGTAACACGATAAAATTATAAGCCAGGTCAATTTTTTTTTTAGCTAGGCTGGCTGTCGATACGAAAGCCTAAAATGGCAACCGTTAACGATAACAAACGCGTTATATCAACTATAGTAGTTCAAGGGTATCGCTTATTTCTGAAGTTACTCTGTTGATCAGACCTACTGAATAGGGTTCTAACTAACTGATTCAGCACATTTCAATGTTGCTGTAAGTGTGAGCCTATTTGAAGGCAAAGGCTAGGAATCGCTCGATTAATCTAGGTGGGGTTCGGTTGCCTTACAAGTGCTCAATCTAACAAGTTTTAGTTTTTATCAAGACAAATCAACAATCTTGTCCAAAAAACTCCCCTTAGCTTTTCTGGACTCGAATTCGTGAGAACGTCTCACAGGGAAGAAGTTTTTAGCCGATAAAAACACTAGTGCCTTTAAAGGCATATATCCTCTCTTGCCGATATAAAGCTTGTGTTATGGTCAACAATCGCTATTTTATGTATTTGTTGCGATACTAAAAAATTAACAGTATCTTGAATTATGGCGAAAAATATACTGTTGTTTTCATCATCGCATCCTCTTCTCAGATAATCTAGTCTAGTCTCTTCTCGATTTAGTCAGTCCTAGTGATTCACATGACCCTGTTCTATATGCCATTTCAGTTAAGAGGACTGCTAAAAGATTGACCATAAGACAAACTAGACCTGGGGCCGCTGTGGTTATTGCCTGAGATGCTACTATATATATATATATATATATATATATATGCACGATAACAACATACGGCAAAGTTTTCCAAGCAAAAGCATCTTCAGCTTTGTACACAGAACAAAATTGTAGCATTTTTACTGGTAAAAACCTACATATGTTTTACGGGAAGCAAATGCATCCCAAACGCGTCACAGGTGTGTACCAATTTAGGGTTGAAGGCGTCATTCGACCATTGTACTTTACAGACGCTTCCGGAACTACGTGACTAGTCAATGGGCTTATTATACGAAATAAGAACATTGTCGCACGAGATAATAAACTAATCGAAGAATTTTTCGTCCGCGCCAGAGTCGTTTACTCAGATCATGCAATGTAAATAAAAACTCCTTTCTCTGGGGCTTTTCGAGGTCAGAAGGTTATGTCAACATGGCATGACCAGGCGAGCTTTGAAAGGATGATATCGAGCGACAATTAAGCTAAATCATCATTGGAAGCTCAGTTTGAAAATTAGGATGTTCTAACAAAATAGGGTATTTACTTATGAAACACGCATTACACGCGCGCACGTGTCCGCTATGTGTTTATCTGCCCATCGAAAAGTTGTAAGCTTATTAGTAGTTCGTTACCATTATTCATTACCATCCAATACCTCCGTATCTGCAACGAATCTATGCCATACAGTTTACGTTAACGGGATTGCCGATGATGGGGTCAAAATACACTGAGTCAAAGCACGTAATACTCCATTTATTGAGTGAGCGATCAAAAAGTAAGGCTTCTGATGCCAGATTTCGAAGTTGAATTTTTGCCTTTCTGTTTTAGGACTTTACATGCGTTAACACGCCGCCATATGAGGCAAACATTTAATACAAGATGTATTCAATGTTTGCCTCATATGATTGCTACATTTCCGGATTATTATGGAATACCATTTTTACGGAAATTCAAATACTGGTCTATAGGAACAGTCTTTTCCGCCTGCGAACTCAGAAGAAAGGCACAGGAGAAACAATTGAGTTTTTTTTTTTTTTTAAGAAATACATATCAACCAACGGCATCTAACGGGAAATTCATACGGCGTCAAGAACGGGACAATTTCTGTCGTTAAAAACATTACTTAAAAGAAATAGTAGTAGTTTTTTTAGTTCGAGAATAACACTGGCTGTACAGTTCTGATACTTGCAGTGATTAGGTTCTAACTTTTACCGCACGCGGCCATCCAATCACCTAAAAATAATAGGGGGTCTTGACCAAACACTCATTATGTCACACGGATACACATAGATATATTTCGGAAAATCAAATAAATGGCAAGAATTATCACGTATGGATCAAAGACCTTCCTTCAGCGACCAGCATTGTATCTTAGTAAAACAGATAAGCTTCGGTTTTTATGTCGCACGTTGTTGCTAAAGTTTCAAACTTGAAAAAACTATATCCTCGTAACTTTCTCTCTTATGATAATAGCTGCCTGCACGCTGCATGCAATGTCTTCGACTGTACACAAAGCTTAAATATTTGTTGCAGTGGTCGCCTTTAAGGTCTAATTTATATGCGTTTTCCACTACAGTCCCATAAAATTACCTATTTAGGTTTTGGAGCCACCTCTAGCAAATTCTGTATCACAGACTCTTGTAGGTTAGTTCTCTATAATTCATAATTGTTATCATCTTCCTGTTAGATGTCGACGTTGTAATATACATAGTTCAACTAGATTCAGGAATAACGTCATGGCCAAAATTTGTTCTTATTGTCTTATCGCACAGCTTTGTACGTACCGTTTAACAAACAGTTAACTCTATTGCAGAGTGGTACCGAAATTCACAAGCGCCAATATCCACAAAAAGTAGTAAAAAAAAAACCACAAAAAAATAACGATAAAATAATGTTGCCATAAAGTCGATTTTGTTATATCATTGTCACCATCTTGTTTATAAACGCAGACGTTAATGTGGCAAAAGTTGAAAAATAACAACTGAAAATAACCCTGGTGGCTATACGTAAGCTAGTTACGTACTCATTAAGTTGAAATGTCGCGTTACGAAGCTTTACAGAACCGTTATACTGTTTCGACCATTTACGCCTCAAGACGCACTGGAGATTTTACGGGCTCCAAATGATCCCAGATGCTCATACTCCATTTTAGAAAAGGCTCTAAATAAATGATCAGACAATTAGCTTTTCCAGAGTGAGTCCGATTTTGGTAAGACTTTGAAAGGAGTATTACATGTGTAATAAACAAAGAACGTAAGTCTAGAAACAGTAAAGCGAAACTACTCACAGAGAAAAACAGCGCAATGGTCGTAGACCTTTTTACAGTCGGGATCTTTTTCGTATGCCAGTTAGTCCTGATGAACTTGAGGTCTCCTCGCACTTCAGTCAAAAAGGTCACAAGGGTTCAACTTCATATAAGCAGTTTAATAATAACAATGTTCACATAATGATTATACTATCCAGTTTGCAATCGAAGCTGAGAGACCATCATTGTATTGCACATTATTGGCCTGATGACCAGTATCAAACGTGTTCAACCCTACTAGTTGTACAACTTTGTGTGCACTTCGCTTCGTCAAAGTAACTAACCACCAACGGCACAATTAGTAAATATATGACCCTTCACTGTTTTCGAGGTCGATTGATCGAAAAAAATGATCTTAATACGAGACTACATCCCGGTTGTAAGGTGTAGCACGCCCCGAACTGGTACGGCAGACGCTTTTTTGTAACATTTTTTTGCAAGCAAAATGTCCATTCTAAATTACACACTTTCGTCCCCGATGACCGTAAATCATGTTTGCAGATGGTGGTAGAATATAGTGTTTAGAACGGTATAATTCAGGATATTTCGTCACAACGTTGACTGAAGGGACTAAGCTGCTACTGTTAACAAAATACTACGACGGTTTTCAAATGCATACGCTAATTTCAGCTTGACGTCTTGTACTTTCTCTGGTAGTTGTCTCGTCGTTCCGTGCATATGAGATGACACCGAATACGGGAAAAGTCTTCACCCGCAGATTTCGGTAAGCAGGGCGCCGTCTTTGAGATAAAAACACTGGAGGTAACAAATGGCAAAACGGTAGCAGCAGCAGCAGCAGCAGCAGGAGTTAATTGAATAGTGACAGGCCAATCTGATGCTGTATCAGTGCCGCTGCTTCTCCTGCACTGGCTTTTCATAAATTCACTCGACGTAGGCCTGTACTATCACAACACGCACTCACAGTAATACGAACCAAACTACTCACGCGCGCACCTCGTTCTTCGTGAAGTTCTCTCAACTGGGTCGGCGGCTGGTTAACCAAACAGGACGTGACAAAAGATCCATAACAACAACAACAACAACAACAACGACGACGACGACGACGATGATGATGATGACAACAACAACAACAACAACAACAACAATAATTAAAAAATGTCACTGCGCCACACTTTTAACTCTATCAATAACCGGCAGTCCGGAGTCAAACGATATTACCACCGACTAACGGGAGAGACGCAGAGAGCCACAGAGGTAGGATAACAGACGCATTCACTGGGCAAAGTGGCGCGCCAAGTCGCTCCTGCGAGCAGCGTTTGTTGCAGTAGCGAACTTGGCATACCATGCACGAGCGCTCACTAACGAAGCTACCTACGAGGTAGCGGTACTCATAGGAGGCAGCAATCTGCAAACAACACGGACGGCGTAACAGCTGCAGAATCACCAGCATCAACAGTAGAAGTCGTAGTAACTGCAGCGACGAAATCAGCAAGTCAATATCACTAGCGTCACACCAGCGTTTGCCGGCGGGACCGAGCACCAAGCAGACGAATGCTACACAACGGTGCTCGAGCTAGCTGGCGAGTCACCTAGCAGAAGCCATTGCTGACATCAACCAGCAGCCGGTACTATCAGCGGCAACGGCGGAAGCGGCAGCAGCAGCAGCAGCAGCAGCAGCTTAACGTCAGGCGTCCAGCGGCAGGCGTCACAGCCAGCGCTGCCAGCTACCGGCGAGCGAAGGCGGGGCGGCTTAAAGCTCCTCCTATCAACAGCAAAACCGGGCCGTGTTGTCGAGAGGGCCCTCACTCCTGAGAGAAGGGGCCCGTAAAGACAGAAGGAAAGAAAGACTGATTGTTGTTCCTAGAAAAACAAGCCGCCAAAGCAAATAACGAGAGAGGTACGGCAGAGATTAGTATTAGCAACGGCATCGACGCCAGCCGCGGTCGCATCATGAGACCGTCTGCACATCGTACTTTCTTACTATACGTATTGTACACTTAGAAAGATAACATGCAGACGTGAGAAAAGGAAAGAGAGGTAGAAGGCAACTGTGATAACCGTTGGCACTATTGCGGCTCCTTCGACTATATGTGTACATATAGTATATGTGTGCTGCAGTCGAGCAGAAATGGGCCATGATGACCAGAATCGAACGACAGCCGATCAACCCAGATAACGTTACGTACAAATAGGTACAGCTATGCTGCATATGGATTCGTCAAAACGGCGTAAATAACAGCAGTTAAACAATGTTCTTCTACCCGATAATGATGAACTGGTCCAGACGAAGGGTTGATGTTGTAAATACGAAAGGAAGAACAAAAGGCGAAACGTTGTTCTAGTAGAATGACTGACGCTTATTCTGTATGACCGTATATTGTGTGCTTCGGACCAACGGACAATTCACATATGATTGATTCGTCGTTGAAGTTGGGAGATGTATTTTTCGCTACCCATACCGCTAGGCTATACGTACGTAGTTAAGTGTCAAACAACAGCAGAGCAAATGACACGCCTGTGCTATAAAAATATATACAGTACGGCTAATAATGATTATTTTATGTTGTGTATAGTTCTACGTGTTCGCTGGCTCAAGCTTTCGCTTCTTCCTAAACTCGAATTAGCTCTTATTGTCATTAGCTTAGATGAGGGCTTTTCAAATACCAGGTATTCAAGGGTCGAGTATCTGGGGGTTTAGACGGCTAAACCCCTCGCTGGTTCAACGGTATACCTTACACGACAAACCCAGTGAACAAAGAAACAAACGACAATTACTGGATATCGTGGTCGTATTTTATTTTAATGGTCCATTAATCGAGCTAAATATTTTTCAAGTTATGACGACTCGTTGACGATATGTTCAATGCATTGGAGGTTCAAAAATTGAAGTAAAACTTATTCAATTAACACGTATTTGTAGCGCAGCAGACTTTACGCAAATACTTAGACCTACACGACTGTCCAAAGGCCGCACCCGCGTGTAACAATACAAATTTTTGGTGGTTGAATTATATGTGCCTAAGGTGCATACAAAGCCCGGACGAGATTTAGCTGTCTGTTACTTGCAAAAGCTTATAGTTTATTTAAAGGTTCATGCAGATACGAATGTAATCACGTAAATTATTAACAGATACGTTGAAATGGTTGAGAGAAACGCTAGTCCAACGGCCACTTCGATCGAGGTACTAGCTATAGTCATGGCAAGCGTCCTAACGCTTGACTTGCATGCATCGTTACTTCTGTTCTAATTCGAGCAAACGTTTGCTTGCTATTACTGTGGCTTTAACAATGACACTATTAAGGACCAAACAGGCTCCCAGTCACAGTAGCAAGCGACGAGCCATCAGTCCCCGTCCAATAAGCTCAATAACTAGGCCCCCACCAAAGGCAGGTGGAATAAGACGAATGAGCAGCAGCAGCAGACGGACAGATACATTCAACAGAGAGTGAAACCCATCTATGTGTAGGTGTCTGTATGTAACCAGGTCCTAGTTTGTATGGGCGACTATCTATAGATCGAGATAGTATCTCAACGCTATATTTAACAATTTCTATTCGTTCTCGGAATGGGTGATTTTAGCATTACAATGTTCCAGTCTAGTTAAAGTGATTGCGGTCTACATGTGCGTATGGAATCCCTGAACGAATCTGAAGAATCAGCTCAATCAACCTTAGCTATTTGTTTATATATCTCGTCCAGATAATCGTTGCAAATTTCTTTTTAATTGTTATTAACTAATAAATGCCGAGAGGTGCATTGCCAATTATCCCGTATGCACACGTTATTCGATTCTAAGTGTATGCCGATTTATATTGGACAATATTTAGAAAAGGGGACTATGGGTAGCATTCATTGTAACGCAGTAAGGTCGAACGTCAGTGTACCACAGCCAGCAGGGAAACGAGAAGTTTCCCTGCTGGCTGAGCTACGGGTCAGCTAGGCACTTTCTTCAGAGCGCCCTTTGGCCCTCCACATAAACTTGTGAGCAATGGAGTTTCGGCTGTTGTGTCTAACGGCGCGGCCCGTCGTGTGACATGTTGGACCCGTCATCACCCCGCTCGCGTTAGCGCGGATTACTGAACTAGCTAAGACAGAACAGCTAACATACAGGAAGCGAAAACAGTCGTAGCGACAGAATGGAGGCTGCTGGCAAAGTAAACGAGACAAGCGGACCAAACGTTTACCGCTGTTACGACTATTATCAGACCTACCTGACCGTATTTGAGCAAGCCTCTTTCTCTAAAGACTAAGGCCGCACCACCTATCGCTTGGCGACTCTAACAAAGGCACACGCACGCAGGCAGGCAGGCAGGCGCCAGCAGACAGCTACAGGTACATACGAGGCGCTCCTTCGAAGAGGACGCAGTACGCACAACAGGTATAAGTATGTATATAGTCAGTCAGTTACTTATTCCTAACTGGTTGTCATCTGTCTAGCCGCGCTGGGGAAAACCGACGACGACGATAATTTCGATTCAAAAGAAAGCGGCAGACAAAAAAAACAGTACCGTCACTATCCGTCCATCGCTCTCGGTTGCGACGCGTTTCGATCAGTGCTCTTTGTACAATATACATGCACACGTAAGGCTATCATATAGAAAAAAAACGCTTTCGCAATCCATTCTGCTTAATGACAAGTTGGAAAGTTGACTGCATCGCTGGAAGATCCCATTCTAGAACATACAATTTCAGATATTGCCGACAATTGCGAAGCAGGACACAGTCGTGCGGGTAAAACGTCGCCGCATCTTAACGCTCTGGTTTTATTGCGCTTTTACCACCATTCGGTGTCCTTGTAAGGTCAAAAATTTTGCCGAAAAACAGTGCTGCATTTTCAAACCGGTTTTTACTTTTCAGAGAAAGTCAATAAATTTTAGTCCTTTAATAAGGAAATGCTAAACACTAATTGCTGTGTTTTAATTCAAGTCGATCATGGATGCGTGTAAGTCTGCGTCGCGAGATACCGACGATCAAAATACCAGGTACATAAGGACCTGTTAAATTAAATCTGTAAGGCTGGATTGCTTCGCTTTATCGGGCTTCGTCGTATTTTGTATACGATGCTATCGTTGAATGACAATTTGATAACCACATGCAGAGGCCGTTAAGATTTTTTTTTTTTGCTTATTTCTAAGCGAGAACCTAGAGGAAAAATCTAGATAACTTAATGAAGTATGTTCTTTCTCTTCAGTGTTGTTTCATAGAGTACATGGACATAGGATCGTGTGTCATTCAGTCATGGACTCGCTTAATAACATGCTTCAGGCTGATAAGGGTCACTAAGGGCCAAACAAACTAATTAGTAGAGAAAATGCCTGTCGCAGTGTCACCCGATAGACTGGGTCACATGTGTTCCAGCTGTCGCCACTTTTCGGACAGCACATCAATGTCTTCGGCATATCATAGGTATCTACAACACCCACACTTTCGAATATCTGTAACTTACCGGAGGAAATAGCATGCTTTTGTCGAACGCCAGAGGTGGTAAAGACCTGGGCATAGCAATAACCATATGCTTTGCTTTAACTGGCGTTATTTTCTCATCTTCTCTATTTCTATGGCAACTATTCCAGCCAAGCAACTTGTGGCTAGAGATCTTAAGAGAAATCGTTCTTAACTCGTTTGTTTATCATCTTCTTCATGCGTGTCATAGTCATCAGAACCAAGCCTGCCCTTGTGCAAGGTCGATGGTAACGGCGCTCGTGTCACCTACGATACCGGGATGAGTCGATGACGCCATCGAATGAACAAGACCAGACGGCTAAGCTGGTTAGCGACCCTGGCCCCTGTGTGACCCGTCGCTTTTTCTGTATGAATGTGTATATTACTTTTGTACGCCTGATGATCCACGTAAGTGTTGTAAAGTCTCAACACAGCTTCGATCAAGGTAATAATGAATAGAGTGATACGAGAAAGCACTCAGTGAATTTCTATATTACTGAGCCACTGGCCTGTGTCAGGGTTCGGGTGAATCATGTATATATGCATTCTGTAGCCCTCTACCGCAACTCAGCTGCTGCGAGGCCATGAAGCAAGCCATTGGTTGTCATATACAAACATATGGGTATATACAGCTTATATCTACTTTTCTTCTTCTATTTTTCCTTGCAGAAGTATTACTTAGTGTCCAGTATGGCGCGGTGGGAAAGCCTACGACGCAGATACGCAGTGGTAAGAAGTTCTGATTCATTTAGTGATGTTTGTATATAGGCCGCAGTGGGTTTCTGAACAGCTTCTTACATAGACTGCTATTGAGGCATCTAAGCGTAAGGGGTCCACTCCAGAGAAGGTGTGACTGTATGTAGTGATACACATATGGAAACAACTTTGAGTGAGCAGAAAGCTCTATACTTCTTCTTCGCTATTGAACGGCTAGGAATAATGCTTAGAGAAGCGGCCCTTTGTTTCGACAACGTTGTGTCAACAACCACGAATACGCCGGTGGTACGGAAACCATAATGTTGTTGAAGATTCTATGGGCATGCCACCCTCACTTCTCTATAGTGGGTGTGATAAATATTGTTGAAACTCACAAAG